GTCCCCTGAAAGCACGTCAAGTCTGGACCTACCTTGGGTACCCCATACCCTAAACCCCAAAACCTTTGACTTCTTAGGATTCCCTACATTTCCTTGCAGAGAAACATTCACTAGGGAAGGGAGCCCTTCCGGAACTCATAAGTTTCGGGGTTCCCCTGGGTTGCTCTGGAGGATTTAGGACCCCTTGACGCCCCAAAGGCTCCTAAAGCCCCCTTTGTTCTTCTTTTTTGTTGTGTTTTTCTTTAAACCCTAAACCCTAACCTCCCTCTTTACGGCTAGGACTCCTGCACTGCCTGCCCGGGAGGAAAACCATGCCTTTCAAGACCGGGCAACACGGACTGTGCCGCGCTGATCACTCAGGAAGTGTGTCAACGGAAGCCCCTAACCCCCGCTTGAGACTAAACCCTAAACCCTAAACCCTAAACCCTGAACCCTAAACCCTAAACCCTAAACCCTAAAACCTAAACCCTAAACCCTAAACCCTAAACCCTAACCCTAGACCTTAAACCCTAAACCCTAAACCCTAAACCCTAAACCCTAACCCCCTAAACCCTTTTACACCCGAGCCAAGGCAGGCACCGCTCCATCGATGCTCGAACCTCGAGCTGCCCAAGGTTCGCGGGACGGAACGTTAGGGTTTAGGGTTTAGGGTTTAGGGTTTAGGGTTTAGGGTTTAGGGTTTAGGGCTTAGGGTTTAGGGCTTAGGGTTTAGGGATTAGGGTTTATAGGGTCTATAGGGTTTATAGGGTTTGTAGGGTTTATAGGGTTTATAGGGTTTATAGGGTTTCGGGCTCCGACTGTCACGCTGGCATGCGCGGGCGAGGTTCTTTTGGTTTTAGGGTTCAGGATGCTCTGAATCACTGAAACGAACCAACTAAAAGAGACACCTCAGAGAACGTTCTGCTTTTGCAGAGGTCTTCTGGCAAGGGTCAGGGCTTTAGTGTTTCGCCAGAAGTTGGCTTGAAAGTCCTTGGAGGTTTGTAACCCCAAACCCTAAACCGTGGAAGGCGACTGTAGTGGTTTTAAGGATCGATGCTCCAAGGAAACCCTAAACCCTAAACCCTAAACCCTAAACCCTAAACCCTGGCTTTTGAGATCTTGGGGCAGGCTTCCGGCTCGTCGGCTTGCTGCGGTACCACCCCCAGCCACCCCCTCAAAAAGAAACTGTGACTAGACCCTAAACCCTAAACCCTAAACCCTAAACCGTAAACCCTAAACCCTAAACCCTAAACCCTGAACCTCAAACCCAAGAGAGTAGCCTAAAGAAAGGGAACAAGGGCCTACTCTTGGTCCTAGGTAAGGGATACGGGAGGGTTGTCAGGGCTTGGCCTTTTTGATGCTGTAGGGAGATTGAGGGTGTTGTTGGGTTTCTACGCGGATGATTTTCAAAAGCCCGGAAGTCTAGAGCCTAGAGCATTACATGAGCCAGGGTCCAGTTACAACGTGCAACCTAAATTTGTGGGTTTAGGGTTAAACTGGACCAAGGTGTCTCTTCAAAATTACCGCGCCTCGTTGATGGCTCAGGCGTCAGCCATTCTTCGAGGTTCGTTTCAGCAAGCAGCTTTGTACGCTTGAGCGATTGTTAGCAGCGCGACACACTGCGGGGGGGAAGACACCAGAAGAGACAGGGAGGACTAAGCGGAGGACCCAAAGCACCCCCCCCCCCCCCCCCGCCCCTTCTCCTCCCCTGTTTCTCAAACGGTAGCCAAGGATCATGAGCCCTCCAAGCGCAATGTAGGATTCAAGTTTGCTAGACGCGGGTTTAGGGTAGACCTGTAAAGTCCAGAGCCGCTGCTGACTAAGAAAAACTCATTGCTCGGAGTAGCTTGTAACATTTGAGGGCTTGGAGTCTTCGGAGGGGTAGGATTTAGGGCTTAGGGTCTTACAGTGTCGGGCCTGTTTCTCATGCCAAAGCTTGAAGGGCACAGGCTCTTCTGTGTGGGTGCTGTGAGGTTGGGGAACATCCCGGGGTGTATGGGGGTGTTGCAACAGGGTTTAGGGTTTAGGGTTTAGGATTTCTCATCTACCAAGCAGGCCATTGGTTTTCACAACCTCCTCGCAGACCCTTTCCGTCCAGTCCCGATAAGGGAACACATAACGTCTCCCAAGTCCTTGCCGAACACCCTTTTAACCCAGGACTGCTTACTTGAAACACCCCAAACCCCAAACCCCATCAACCGCAAACCCCCAAACCCTGAACCCTAAACCCTAAACCCCAAACCCCAAACCATATCAACCCCAGACCCTACAAGCCTCCGATGAGGTATCTTGTTGTCGCGGCGGCGCAGGGGCGTTTCGAGACCCGATGTGAGACAATGTTTTGCTCAGACCTGGGGATGCCTCGGGGGTGAGTGAGGGTTGAGGGTTGAGGGTTGAGGGTTGAGGGTTGAGGATGTAGGGGATTTAGGGGTCTTTTTCCACCCACCCAGCACTTGCGCACACTGCGGGGGCTACTTCAGAAGGCTGCACTAGAAGCTACTCAGACGGGCGGCATTGAATTGGGTTTAGGGTTTAGGGTCTAGGGACTTGTGCCACCTGCCAAGCAGACCAGACTCGGGTTTCGGGCTCTGGGCTTAGGGTTTAGGGTTCAAGGTTTCTTAAACTCAAGCTGGCTTGAAGGCATTTCCAGGCCGGCGCTGCTTGCGCATGAGACTAAAAAACATCTGATCATGTTCTACACAAAACTCGACGCCATTAACTTCATGTCAATGGTCAGACGTTGACTCTCTATCATCTATCTTAAAGCTTCCTTCTGGACAAAGCCGCGTTAAGGTCACTGTGCCGACGAGCTATCTGCCAAGTTTCTACGTCTACAGAACCTCAAACTACCTAATCGCCTCTCCGAGAGCAAGAAGTCAAGAAGCTGGGAAGGCCTGGTAAGTGTTTAGGGTTTTGGGCTTTAGGGTTTTAGGGTTTTAGGGTTTGTAGGGTTTTAAGGTTTGTAGCGTTTTAGGTAAATCCTCATATCCTTCTGACAAAAGAATTCAACCTTCTGACAAGAGAATTCACCCTGGATAGCTGGGAGGCTCTCGAAATAAGAAAAAGATGCGGATGGCTTGCCGTCTTACATGCTTCAGCAAGTTTCCTAGCGATCTGTGTGAAAATCTTCTTGCGAACGGTAGAAGCAGGCATTCAAGCTGTGCTTTGCTTTAGCTTTTTCAGGGGCTCATCGGCTACACCAAGAACATGCACAAGCCATCCGCACGATGGTTTTGTATGAAACGAGGCGGGAGCCTCAACACGGCCAGGGATGCTTTAACCATGAACCACACTCGACGTGCTGGGACAGGAAGGATTCACAGAATTGGTTGAGGATCCCCGCTGCCTGCTACAAGGGTCATCCTTGACCAATTCGTTTCAGCAGTGCAGAGCAACTTAGACTAAGACCCGTCCTGGTTTCAGCCTTGGCCGTGGCTATACTAGCCCTGTCACCCAATCCATGGGGGTTTCACAGTACGTGCTTGCATCTCCAGCCTGAACCCTCAACCCTAGTGAGCCTAAAGCACTAACTTAACTGCAAGAGTCCAGGCGCTTAGCAAGCCCTGCCGTGAGTTAGCAACGCATCCTAATCCGCAATCCTTCAACCAGCCCCGACATCGCTTTCCTGCCCTCTGCACCGTCTTGTCCTGAAAAACTCCTAGGCGCGACTCTACTTCAAGTCACACCGGCATTGATTTCAGATCTGGCCATCCTGAGTCGATGAACCAGGGCCGATGCCAGGACATGGAAAGTCTGAGAGTCTAAACCCTAAACCCTAAACTCTAAACCCTAAACCCTAAACCTTGTTGTTGGTTGGAAGTTTCAGGAACTTAGGTCCCACCTCGCAAGTAGGTGCGTGGCTTCGAACTCGAGTCTGAGATCTCACATCCCGAAGCTACCCGTACGTTGGGCACAACATGAACGCGTAATGGGTTTTTGAAGTCCAAAAACATGTTTCTTGAGCAAGCTTTTGATACATGCTTGCTTAGCAGATGCTGCTTTCACGGAATCTTGCATTTCGGAACTGAAGCCCTCCTCGCGCGGGTCTGCTGGAAGGTGGATCGCTTCAGCCACACCAGTGGTGGAATCGGACGTATTCAAATCTCGACCAACTGCTGCTTTGAACCCAAAGACCCTCAACCCTAAACCCTAAACGCCTATGCAACTGCAGGAGCTGCGTTTTTGCTTTCCCGTCTTTGCGGATGTAACGTGCATTCAACTTCGGCGCGGTGGATGCTCGCCATGCTTGCCACTTGCTCAGGGTCTGTATGTCGCTGTTTTTGTTGAGTCCGGATTTGCCACTTCGAGGAAATGAACGTAACACCAAGATCAGCCTCGGAATCTACGCCCTCTGGTCATAGCCTAAGCCCCTAAACCCCAAGCCCTGAACCCTAAACCCTAAATCCCGATCCACGCGCGGATCCCGAACTCTATGTCCCTCGGGGGCCCAAAGTTGCACAACACTAAGCACACAGCAAACTTGCAATTACCTCAAACCCCTTCAAAGATTGAACTTTGGGATGTTCCCCCTTATACTAACAGTCCTAAATGGGGATTCTAATAGGGGTACCATAATCCCTTTTCAGGACTGTTAGTAAAAGGGGAACATCCCAAAATGAACTGAGACCCTTTAAAGGAATAATATAGGGGCTTTCATTCGAACAGGGTGTTGGGGGCCATTATAGTGTAATCGTATAGGGACCATGAGGGAATACTACTAGTCATTATTCCAACCCCCTATATGAATCCCCCTCCAACGGACCCCGCCAAAAGATATCTCAGTATCTCCGAAACCCAAACAGCATAGCCTCTCTCCAAGGGTGGTGGCATGGTCCCTTCTTACATGCGGACCCCTTCTATACCCCATGAAACCCAAGGAGCATGCTTCAGAATCCTTTCAAGACGGTAAGGGACCATAGTTCCCCTCAACCCTAAACCCTCCATACTTAAGGACCATGCAACCAGCCTGTGCTTCTCTGCAGAGCGGCCGGAGATGTGACGCCTTGCCCCCGAGGAGCTGGTCACATTGTTCTCCTGGCTTCAGGCTTTTTCGCTTCAAGGTTCACACACCCTAGGCCCTAAACACCCTAAACACCCTAAACGCCCCAAACGCCCTAAACGCCCTAAACACCCTAAAACCCTATACCGGGCAGAACACTCCGGTTGCTTCGCTTAGAGTGCGCCGCGCGCCCCCAAGCTCGGAACGCGTGGCTTTAGGCAACGCAAAGACTCGCCTACGGTCTCCCGCGGAGGCCTGAGGGTTTTACTTCGCTCTCCGCGAATCACTTGGGGCCATTGAGGGCCCAATTACTAGCCCTCAGCGGGAGCCAATCAGCCAGATAACTTGCGGTCCGTCGAAAACCCTAAAACCCCAAGGGCTCACAGAGTAAACCCTGGGCCCTAGACCCTAAACGCTAAACCCTTACCAACTGAACGTTCTACAAGGCCATGAAAGGATTACACAGGGTACTGAATGCTGACCCTGTACCTCCCAAAAAAAGAACTGCTCGGTTTAGGCTTACGGTTGAGGGTTTAGAGCTAGGTTCAAATGCAAGAATCCCTCTCACATGGCCCGTGGACTCACGAGCCTGCCTGGGAGATTCGTTTTCATCGTCTTCCTTATGGGCCACATGAGGCTTAAACAGGGTTTAGGTCTTTCGTGCACGTCCCCCAAGGTTGTCATAAAATGCGGCCCCTTACGCCTATACATATATATATATATGTGTATACATATTTATATATCTTTATTCTTAATCTCTGTACTTCTTTATTTCTTTACTTCTGTATTTCCTTATTCTTGATTTCTAGGGACACGGTCACCAACAAGGAGGATTAGAGAGCTGGAGCTAAATCGGCAAGGGATTGAGGCCGTGGTCTGCGAGGTTTAGCCTCCGGCTGTAGCCCTGTTGTTCCAGTCATTGGCATGCTGGAGCTTCTTAGGGTTTAGGGTTTAGGGTTTAGGGTTTAGGGTTTAGGGTGACTTCAGTTGGTGTGGAACCAGAGAGCATCGAGCAAAAAACACAAGTTTAGGATCCAAGCCCTATCAGCATAGGCCTGGGACTGAAATGGGTTCCCAAAATAGGGGTACCGCTTTTGTACCCCCAAATAGAACAGAATCCCTTAAAGAGACCCCCCGAACAAGGGCACCCCTTTTTTGGGAAACCCATAAATTGCCTTTAGAACTCAACTGGTTTAGGGTTATGGGGGTTAAGTGTGGCCTTGGTCTGCAAAGGCTCCAGATTCGCCAAGGCACGGCGCCCATGCGCATCTGCCGCATCTTGCGCAGCTCCTGCTGCTTCTGCTGGCGAGCCTAGCAGAGTGGCTCAGTTCCTTGGGGACTACTATATGAACCCTACAACGGTCCACATCACGTAATACATTACCTCCCAACCGCACGCAGAGTAGTGTCTTGGGCCTGCAGATGCCCTTCAGCAGAAACATGGCACTACAGGAGGGCTACAAAGAGTGAGTGCGTGCGGTGTCCTAAACGTCGGCTTCAAGAGACAAGCCCGAAAACGGGCTCATGCTTGGCACATGGTGCTGTTACCATCCCTCCCCGCCCCAGAGATTCGGATTTCCAATCTCACTCTCTCTGCCCCTCGTGCCTGCAAGATCTGCAGCGTCCTCGCATTGCTCCGCTCCACGTCGCGGAGAGCCTTCGTGAGCTTCGGTGGAATTCTTGCATCACGTGAACCTGCCTGCGTAGCCTTTTTTCGGTGCCAAAGATGCAACCGGCCTTGAGCTGCTTCTCGTTGGTGAGAAGCTGCCTGCGCTGCAGCAATGACTTCGACCCGGCGCAAGAAGTGGGTTTTGTTTTGCGGGCTTGGGCCAAGCACCAGCTCCCCCGATTTGAGGCCAAGGGCTTCTACATGGCATTCAGGTTTCGACCCAATCCTAAATGAAGCACTCCCCTCCCCGAGTCTCTTCGCCGCTTCTTAAGAACCCTATAACATCATCAGCCACGAGCCTCTTCTCCTTTCGCAGCTGGTCCAGCTCATCTGACTCGACCGTTGCACGCTTGAAGATCCTCGCAATGAGTTGCGCCCCAATCAAGCGCATGAAATGTGCACCATGATAAAAAAAGCTAGGCCCTAAACCGAAACCCTCAACCCCAACCTAAACCCGCATTGAACTGCTTTAGAGGGCGCGGCTCGTACCATGCAAGCATGGTACAATAAAATTCTGGTGTAGAAGCCAGAAGCATTCTACTCTTTGCTTTAGAATAAAACAAATAGGGCAATCCAGGGATGGTTATGTTGTCGATGTTTTTTGGGAATCTTAAGCAAGCAGTCCTACACCCTCAACCCTAAACCTGCAGAAAGCTGAGAGCCCAAGCCGGCTGTGAGCTTCGCGACTCCGCACGGCCGCCGACTTCGCCCTGCCGGGGGCGGGGGGGGGGGGGGGGGTTTATGGTTTAGGGTTTAGGGTTTAGGGTTTAGGGTTTAGGGTTTAGGGTTTAGGGTTTAGGGTTTAGGGTTTAGGGTTTAGGGTTTAGGGTTTAGGGTTTAGGGTTTAGGGTTTAGGGTTTAGGGTTTAGGGTTTAGGGTTTAGCCCGAAACCACAAAACCTTTAATGTAGGGGCCTTAATAATTAGAATAGGGGGTCATTATACTATATACATGTACAAAGGATCCAGAAGGGAATACTACTAGTAATTATTCCGACCCTATATTACACGGTTCTGGGCTTTACCAGCAAACGCGTGTACTTCTTTCAGTGGCATGAACATAGCATATTGCGCAAACCTTCTCAATCGCACAGCAAATGCAAGCGGCAGCCTGGCTGCATTGCTTCAGGGAGAAAGAAGCCAAAGGCTCTCAAGCGCATATCACAAAGCAGAGCGAGAAAGACAGAGAGAGAGAGAGAGGGAAACACTTCCCATGCATTCCACAGGAGGTCCGTGCAAAGGCCCTCATGGTGTCGCTTGCAGTTTTCTGCGTCAGCTTTAAAGGGATGGTTTGAGGCCACAATGAGGCGTGTGGTTGCAAGCAAGCTGCAGTCCCGGAAAAAGAGTCTACGTCGGCGCATGCACCGGCGCAACGACTCGAGTTACGGCAAAAGTTGAGATGTGCCACTCCCGGGCATCCCCCAAGAAGCGAGCTTTTACATAGTGAGACCGCACAGACGTCAAACAGACGCTACGCGTCTAAGGCACCCCCCCCTTACCGAAGCAAAGTCAGCACCGCTCAACAAAACAGCAGCAAGCAGAGCGAAACGATGAGATGGACGGCGCAAAAAGGACGGAAACAAAAAAAAGTTCAATTGTTGGAAGACACCCTAAAGCAGCCGCTACAAATGCAATACTAGAAGTAACAAGCGGGAGGAGGACTGGAGCATGAAATGCGCGCGAAACCTAGGTTGTTGCATGGTGAAGTATGCAGCAGCAGCGGCGGCGGCGGCAGCAGCAGCAGGAGGAGGAGGAGGAGGAGGAGAAGAAGAAGAAGGAGAAGGAGAAGAAGAAGAAGAATAAGTTGAAGAAGGCACCAATCTGGCCCAGGAGCCGGCGTTTCTCGACAATCTCTCGGACACGGTTCTCCTGCGCGGGCTCAGAACTTCGGTGTGCGGGTCGGGTTCAAGACTTGCGGGCTCACAGGGAGTTTGTCGGGGTTTTAAGATGTTAGAAACCTAAACCCGAAGCCCTCAATCCTCAACCATGCTAGCATGGCCTGGGGATCTTGTGCTGGGTGATAGAAGCTCAACCCTAAAAGCACCAAAAGAAAGCTCGCAAAAACCGTAGAGAGACTACTCTGTACAAAAGCTACCCAGGAGCCTTCGAAGCCATGATCTGGGGTCCCAGTAAGGCCAGCGAACCATGAAACCACAGAAGGGAGGGAGACACAGACACAGATGCCGGACTTAGGGTTTAGGGTCATGTGCTCGGACCGTTGAAACACATCTCAGGGTTACGCTTCATAGCAGGGTTTGTGGAGTCTCGGGGCCAGGAACCCTAGAATTGGGGGGGGGGGGGGGGGGGGGGGTTCCTACTTGGAGGTTCATGGGTAGCAAAAGTAAGGCTAAGCCCATTCAGGGCTGGCCCTGCTGAAAGCTACCACCCATGAACCTCCAAGTAGACCTTCAATTACTATAATCACGGGGAGGGGTAGAATGGACCATACTTGGAGGTTCATGGGTAGTTAAAAGTCGGGTTAGAAGTACCTCAAGTAAGCTTATAGGTATAGCCACCTTTATACGTGACCCTAAACCCTAAACCCTACACCCTAAACTCAAGGCCTAGGCCGCCAATTTTAGGGGGTCCCGAACCCCTCGCCGCAGCGTGCCCAGCGTGCCCAGGGACCGGGGCCCTCTGGTTGGCTCAGGCAGGGTGGGTGGGCCCCCCCTGCCCTTTTCTGGCCCCTCTAAAACCTCCTCAACCCTCCAGAACCTCTCATTTTTCTATGCAGCTGAAACCCGTGCTACAAACGAGCAGGGACCTGGCCTCAGACCTTCCCCCCTAGCTGACCATCGGTGACGGAAAGGTTTTTAGAAGTAAGCGCTTGTCATGAGTTTAGGCCTAAACCCTAAAAGGAACAGGTTTGCCTCGGACGGCGTGCGGTGGGAGAAAAGTATTCGATGGCCCTCCACAATCGGGCCCGAGCTGCTCTTCGCACCTGACGAGGCATTCGAGCCTCTGCTGCATCCTAACCTTCACAGCATCTACGCCCTATTACAGCAAACCCTAAACCCTAAACCCTAAACCCTAAACCCTAAACCCTAAACCCTAAACCCTACGTATAACGACCCACCGAGAGAAAGCCCCGGCCTCGGCGATTCGCTGGTCTTCAGCCACCAGATCCACAGCAAAGGGGCTCTTGTGGAGTTTCCTGGCTCAGGGTTTAGGGTTTAGGGTTAAGGGTTTTTGGTTTTTCCTGGCTTAGGGTTGTAGAGCTTTGGGGTTTAGGGTCAGTAAACCCTACAACATTATTTCCACAGCAAAGGGGCTCTTGTGGAGTTTCTTGGCTTTGGGTTTGGGATCAGGGTTTAGGGTGCCTTAAGTGTTTCAACATGGCCAATTTTTAGTTTTTGCCTTTTGCCTCTGCTCAGCTATAAACCTGTTACACAGGCTGGTGTGAGCGCGTCACCCTAACTCCTAAGTGCTTCCAGGGAGGACCGTTTCTCATGATCCGATATTTCTGAGCCATCCTCCATTCCCGCCCACGTACACCTCAACTCATAGGCATCAGCTGACCTCAAGATATAATAAGCACAAGAAGGGGTTCAAGTTATAAAATAACCAATAGGGGTTCCACATGAATGTGAAGTTAGGACTCTGGATTCTTCCTTATAAGGGTCACATAGGGATTATTGTGTTTTTTTCTTTTGGGGGGAGTTCTTCAGCAAATAGTAGGGCCTATGTTGAGTTCTGGTAGGTCTCTGTTAAAGCACAGGGCCGGAACATGCGACCATCCCAAACATCTCCTGGCCCACCGCTCATCGCGGTCGCGCTGAGAAGCCACCAGGCGATCCAGGTACACGCGCCTCCCGCACCCTAAGCCCTAAGCCCTAAGCCCTAAACCCTAAGCCCTAAGCCCTAAACCCCCGAAGGTGCTTCGTCTAAAGCGTTGGCATGCTGAGGTTCGACTACGGCGTCTGTAGTGTCCTCTGGATATCTCAGTCTATCTTGACGACGGCATCGAAATTGAAAAAGACATCGGCACGTCCCCCCCCCCCCCCCCCCCCCCAATGCCTGTCTTGCTTCAGATCATTCTTCACCGCATCGCGTTGGGCGAAGCGGATACTCATGATCTTTGTCGACTCCTCCCGGGCCTTGCAGGGTGTTTTAGGGTTTAGGGTTTAGGGTCGTGGGTCCATGAGAATGGCACTTTTCCAGACTGGGCCAGCTGTCCGAGCTCCTAAAGAGTGCTCCCTGATGGATGTTCCCCCTTATAAAAACAGTCCCTAATAGGAATTATCATAGGGGTACTATAATCCCAATTAAGGACTCCTAGTATAGGGGGGGAACATCCCAAGTTTAGGGTTAAGTTTGGGGTTTATAAGGCTTTGCAAAAAATGAAGCCCAACCCACTCACCAAAGGCGCTCTCGGAAGTGGCCTTGGCACACATCTCCAGCCTGCGGAGAAGGCGCTCGCGCTCCTTCGCTGGGGCTCTTATGCACAGGCAGTGGTCTAGGGTTTAAAGGGGTAGATCATACTCGTACGCAGCAAGATTATAAAAGTACTAGCAATCAGAAAAGGGGATCCTATGCGAGGCCTTTCAAAGTCTTCTGGTTCGGGCAGCAAGAGGCCAAGCTGGTGATATGGGCTCTAGAACTAAACAGGTGCCCGGGGCAATGTTGCAAATAGTTTTCTCGAGCCCCGCACACACACACACACACACACACTTTAGGGGGGTTTAGGGTATTTGGGCTTAACCTACGAGGTCGACAATGCGGACGACCAAAGGTTGAAAGGCCGGAAAAAATATCGCACATACTGGGTGCATGCCCTAAGGCGACCCATGCGGGCAAAAGGCGACTCACCCCAAGTAGACGCCCCTGAATGCAAAAGGCAACCCATGCGTGCAAAAGGCGACCCACAGAAAGACAATCCCCAGAGAGACGCCCTTGCCAGGCTACTGTTGCAACATAGCAACAAACAAGCAAAATGCACGCGAGACCCAGCACAGAGTACCGATTCCAAAGGATTTCGGACGACGATGCACCCTGAAACCCCAATGTGACGCCTTGCCAGACTACTTGCGCAACATAACGAAACACAAAGGGATGAGTGTGTCCAGACACCCGAACAAACAATGCGGCGCAAACGGTTTATGATATTAAAAGGTCCATTGAACCGGACCCCCCAAACGTTGCACGGAATTTAACGTGTGGGGTTCAGTGTCAGAACTATAGACTTTCATGCGGTAGATTGAGCACAAGGCCTGTGGTAGGTTACGGGTGAGACGCCCGCCACACATACTGGAGAACTGCCTTGTGACACCTACGCGAGACCCCAGGAATAGAAAACTGCAAGGAGACGCCCTGGCGAGACGCCCATGTGTCATGAAGAGAACTGCGACATATTAGAAAACTGCAGTGTGACGCCCCGATGAGACGCCGTTTGCCTGCGCGAGACGCCTTTCGTCAACCACCCAGTAGCAGGCCAAACAGATATGTGTAGCATTAGTATTAGTAAAAGCCGCGTCCAAACGAACACTACATCGAAGAACAAAATACAGTCTGAAGATCTTTGTCCGGGCTGGGCTATGCAGGGAATGCCAAGTCAGCCGCGACTCTCCGATCCCGGCAATTCAGGACTTCAGGGATATAACAATTGGGTTTCTTGCAGAAGTACCTTTCATGATAGGGTGCCCTGTTAAGGCTTCAAAGGGACAGGAACTCAGAACCCAGGATCTAGAACTCAACACCTTCATTTCTGTGGGCTATTTTTGTCAAACCCTTTTCTCAGACTTAGAGACAACCTCTTCGTTGTTCAGTAACCTAGGGGAACTGAAGGTTTACCTTGGGCTTGGGAATTCAGAGGCATTATACTACTCCGAAAAGGTTAAAGGTTATCTACTCTACTACTAAGACCTAACCTAGCCCCCCATACGTGGCCTCGGTATTCGTGGATTGCGGAAGCAAGTGAGACCTCGGAGTAGGTTGAAGAATAGCGCATATTGAGCCGCGCTCTGTATTCCTGTAGGTTTGTGCTATCGGTTTAGGGTTTAGGGTTTGTAAGGGTTTAGGGCTTAGGTTATTGAAATCAGGAACCCTTCAGCGGAACCCTTTTGCGGTCCTTCCGTGAGCACTGGTTCCGCTGGTCAGGGGGCTTGCTTCTGCTAACGCTTCTGCGAGCTCATTTCGTGAGGTTTTGGGGACTTTGATTCCGCGAGTAGGCTTGTATAAAGTATGAATTTAAAATTCTATATTAAGAATATATTAAACCACCAACAACAATGAGTTCAATACGAGTCACCATATAAATATAATTTACATATAAACCGGAACATGCACGCTGCCTTCGCTTGCAAAGCTGATGTGACGTTCCGCAAGAGCACGGACCCTAAACCCTAATCCCTAAACCCCAAACCCTAAGAGACCTTTACATCGACACACGGGCTTCTTCCCAGCTTGCGCAAAACTTCCGCGCAGCTTTTTTTGAGTTCGCGTCAAACGTTGCGGACAGAGACCCCACATAGGTGGTTTTCGAGCCGAGATGGGGGCATGCAGTGCATGCACAACATACCCTAAATGCGTGCGACCTTTTTGCAAAGGCTTTTGGGTAGCCTATCGCTTTTCCGAGAAGGTGGCACTCCCTGACTGCCGAATCCTAAAACTAACAGGGGTTTAGGGGAGAAGGTCAGCCATGAGAGCTTCAAAACGGTGAAGTTGCTAGCTGCTAAGAGGGAGACAACCGCCAACAAACTTGAATCAACGAGCAAACCCTTCTCCTTGTGAAAGCGTGCCGAGCACCCTGAAAGCTCTTTAAACCCGTGTCCAAGATACGACCAGGCCTCCCAACAATTTGCGAGGTTAAGGGCGTACCTACAAAAAGGGTAAATACTTGTGCTTCATCATCTACTGTCGAGGTGGACTCTTCAACAGCCGTATCAGGTGCCGCGCATGCCGAACTGAAGGATTTGCGGCCTCAGGCTGAGCGTCATACAGGATATTCAGCATGGGGGGTGAATGCATCTGGGGCTCGCGAGCTAGTTTGAGGCTTAAGGTTTCCTGAGCCGTTGTCCTTGTTGGCCTTTGCCTGCATGGTGGTCATCTGCTTCCCAGGGCTTGAGTATAGGGCAAGGGTCCTGCACGTTGAAGCACCTGCCTGTGTGTGTTTTCGAGGTTCATTGCAAACATTGCCCAAGAGTCCATGACGGACGAAGCATTCCTGAGGCTTCGGCTGATCTTCAATAAAATGCTCATTCATGTGGGCGTTGCTGGAGGCCGTCGTGTAGGTCGATTCCCCCCTGTGGCGGAGCAAGTGCAAGCATACTGACATAACGTGGATGCATGCTCATGCTCTCCGGCCAAATAAGGAGCCTGATCTGAATGAGTGAATTCCTATTTGGAGACCCCCGAAAGAACCATTTGGATGCTTGAAAAATTTAGGGTTAAGATGGGTTAAGCTAGCAAACGGAGGATTCCGCAACCACTCGGAGATCCCCGTGTCTTCCAGCCAAGAAAGAGAAACCAAGACCTCCACACTGGGTCCGAAGACATGAGCACCAAGCACAGTCAATTCCTGTGTGGGCTGCGTTTTCGACTTCAACGCGCAGATGATTCCGTGCCATTTTCAGGATCCGCAGCTTTGAGAGAAAAAATGTACGACAAAACGCAAAGACTCCCTCCTGACTTGCACAACGGTCTTGCACCTCGGGGTTAGGGGCCTATACCGAATCCTAGCCGAACCCTAAACCCGAACCCTAAACCCCTAACCTTGGACCTCTTTGCCCTAAACCCTCAAGCTTCAAGTCATAAACTTTCAACCTCTTTGCCCTAAAGCCTAAACCTTCAACCCTTTTGCTCTAACCCCTTAACCCTAACCCCCAAAACCTTCATCCCTCTGGCCCTGAACCCTACCCTAAACTTTCGACCCCTTTTGCCCGAAACCCTAAACCCTCAACCCCTAAACTTTCAACCCGTTGCCATAAACCCTTTTTGCGACTGGGCCTGAGGACTAGCCCTAAACCCTAAACCCTTTTTCCTAAACCCTAAACCCTAAACCCTCCCTCCCCCGGCGGCGACCTCAGGAGCCTCTCGCGGTGCGATTGGGATCCGACCTTTCCAAATCGTCAGTTTTGGAGTTTGTGGCTTAGGGTTTAGGGTTTGGGGTTTCGGGTTCTTTATAGGGCTTATAGAGTTTAGGGTTGTTTGTAGGGTTTTTGGGGTCCAGGGTTTGGGGTAGGTTCTAGGGCTTGTAGAGTTTACTCTGCGCTATCTCTGTGCTTTTCTCCCTCTTGTTTTGCTTTTGTCAAGGCCCAGGGTTGCTGGTTTAGGCTCACGCCGCCCGAGGGCTTTACACATTTCAGGGTCTTTTGGGGGGGGGGGGAAAGGGGGGTTGGGGGAAGGTGGTGGGTTAGGGGGGGGGGGTGTGCAGCTTAAATAGGGTCTATTTGGAAGCTGAGACTCGGGTTTTAAAGAGGAAATAAGGCCCCAAAACGTATACTTATTTACAAGAGCCAACTTCCAAATAGACCCTGTTATCGTTTCTGGGGGGTCTGGGGCAAGGAATTATAAAATTTAAATAATTTGAATAATTTTAATTAAAAATAATTTAAATAATTTAAATCCGAAAAGGGGAGGGGGGGGAGCAGGACCAGCTTCCCCCCTCCTTCCCACAATTAGATAATTTAAAAAAAAAAATTAAATCCGAAACACCCCTTTCGGAATTAAATTGTTTAAATTATTTAATCCTGGGGGGGGGCTTGGTCGGGCCTGCCACCCCCCCCCCCTTTTCGGATTTAAATTATTTAAACTATTTAATTCCGGGGGGGTGACTAAATAATTTAAATAATTTAAATCCGAACCCCCCCTTTCAGATTTTAATTATTTAAATTATTTAATTCCCCCCTGGAAGTAAATATTTTAAATAATCTAAACAATTTAATTAATTTAAATAATTTACATAATTTAGATAATTTAAATCCGAAAAGGGGAGGGGGGGAGCAGGACCAGCTTCCCCCCTCCTTCCCAGAATTAAATAATTTGAATAATTTAAATCCGAAACACCCCTTTCGGAATTAAATTATTTAATTCTGGGGGGGGGGCCTGGTCGGGCCTGCCCCCCCCCCCCCCCCCCCTTTTCGGATTTAAATTATTTAATTCCGGGGGGGGGAACTAAATAATTTAAATAACTTAAATCCGAACCCCCCCTTTCAGATTTAAATGATTCAAATTATTTAATTCCCCCCTGGAATTAAATAATTTAAATAATTTAAATAATCCAAATAATTTAAATCCGAAAAGGGGGGGGGGGGAGCAGCAGGACCAGGTCCCCCCCCCCCCTTCCCAGAATTAAATAATTTAAATGATTTAAATCCGAAAGGGGTGTTTCGGATTGAAATTATTTAAATTATTTAATTCTGGGCGGGGGGGGCCTGGTCGGGCCTGGCCCCCCCCT